TATAAGGGTAAACATAGAAAGAAAATTTTCCAAAAGTCTAACCATAACACTAAGCACAAAAGAACAGACCAACATGAATCCTTAGATTGTACTGACTGTTTAAATACGACTAAACCGACTAAAAAAGCAAAAGACGCACATGCGCGTCATCGGCAGCGAAAGTGTTAAGAGAGTAAAAATCGGGAACCATTTCAATGAAGGGTCAAGGGTTCAACTAGTAAAATGAATATATTTTTCACTTGTAAGGCCCCGACTCTCCAGAAAAAATACTTCCCCACGGGAAAACCAGTAACGAGGTGACGTTATGAGAGATTCAGGCAGTGCTACGATTTGTGCTCTGATTGTGAGAATTCGTCTAACCACTTTACCTAGTGATTTCGAACAAGCTGGCAGCGTGTTGCAGCCACATAATATACAACGTCTCCGTGGCCACGAATATGGACGCAACTATAAACAATGATAAATTCTGATGGATCACGATTAGGTAAATGTATTTTTCTTCGTCGATCAAGTAGTCCGTCATTATCGGGAAATAGTTTATTCGGGTTCCGTTCCCTGGTTGCGACGTGCTTAAAACGAACGATGCGAGGTGGCATATCGTCACGATACCCGCTGACGGATAAATAAATGCTGCAACACACGCATAATCGTGCTATTATAAATATACGATACACGGAATCTGTCATTCTCTCTTCAATTTCTTCCTTACCCGCGTATATCGTTGTATGATACTTCCCTAATCTGGCTCGTTTCTCAATAATCTTGAACATTTCCCCGCGTTTGGTGTTCCAATCATACGTTACTTCTTCCATAAGTTCCTTAATCTGGATTTTCAATCGTCTTTACATAGTGATCATCATGCGTAAACATAACTGGGAATTTTTGCAACTCACAGTATCGGCATGAAACCAAAACGCATGGTACTTAACGGCGGCACACGCGCACATTAGTATAGCCGGTAGATTTTTTAACAGGAGACTCACCGTGAACTCTACCGTTTTGAAAGCCAACAACTGAAAGAATCGTTGGATTTCGCGTCAACATCGAATTCCGTTCGACTTATTGAAACTAGAGATTTTTACTTGTTACAATTATAACTATTTGAGGGGTAAGCCCACTCCAGGTCCCCCCAAAAATAAGTTAAGTTCGAGAATATTTGTTCAGAAATGTATTAAAAGCAGTGAAACATTCAAGGACGGTATTTTATTAAATGCAAATTAATGGGTAAAAGCAAAATTTTGTTGTATGTTTTTCTTCTAAAATGTCGGCTTCAGTACCTAAGATTTCAAAGCACCTTTTACGCGAGGCCTCAAACGGGCGAAAGGATTTAGCACACAGATTTCAACCTAGAACAAAGAACCGAAGATTTTCTGTAAATATATCGCAGAAGCTAGTAGACAGCGTGTGGAAATTTGAAAATATCATTTTCTTGTAGAATGATGCACACACACAAAGAAAAAAATTAATTGTTTCCGAAAATTTCATCCCAAAATTATCTGTAAAAGAAAAAGATTACAACTTATCGCAAAAACCATACGCTGTCTACTAGATAATGTATTAGAGATGTCACCCTCCAAATTTTAAAAGAATAGGACAAGATTTGTAAAAGTTATCGTTTCGCTCTATTTAAAAAATGTAGTTCTGAGAAAAACGCGCTGTGTCCTTGAGGGCTTGGGAAAACATTCGAAAACGACCTCTTTGGAATTCTACAGGGCTATGAAATATTTCTTTTCGGATTAAAGCTTCGAGGCAACATCTTAACGAACGAAAAATCGATTCTTTGAAATTTCTGGAGTGGCCTTACCCCTTAATAAAGGGTCCATTTCATTGGAATTGGCATTGTTACCTCGGATCATTAATCCTACTCGCCTGATCTGTCTCCCTGCGATTATTTTCTTTTCCCAAAATTGAAAATTCCAATGAAAGGGACACGTTATAGCAACATTTCGGAGATTCAGACCGCTGTAACTGCCGTACTAAACGGGGTACCAAAACAGGAGCTGCAAAGGTCCTTCGAAATGTTAATTACGCGGTCTACGCGTTGTATTGACGCAGATGGAGATTAATTTGAGTAAATAAACGTGTGTGTAAAAACTTTACTTGTACTTTTTTTCTTTTCATAGCAAAAGTTCGGTTTCTTTTTAGACAGACCGTGTAGATCGTACCTGGACGATTATGAAATAGTAGAAACAGATACAGACGAAGGCAACCTGGAATCGTCGAATTGTCACATTCTGGTACGGCCAGAGTCCTACAGCCGACATGAGAAATATGCTCAGCTTGTAGTACATCTCCAGCTCACCCATCATGGATGATGATTCACACTCAACTGGCTCCCTTAATATTTACCCACCCTCGGTTCCATAGCCGTAAACTTTCGCGTCAACGTTACCTCTTGAAAAGATTTTCTTCGAAATAGAGCGAAATGGTGAAAAATAGAATGGCGTGATCTACAATTTTCTCATTATTTATTAATACATAAATGTGCTGTTGGTATAGACGAATCGATTGACGTTTGATTACCGTAATAATCCATGCATGGGTGCTAAGTAAATTATACGTTTCTAAAGGAAGGGCAATTTTACGAACATTTTGAAGCTATCTCGTCGAATTTTAGCACGCGAGTGTCATACGACACCTTCACGCGACGTCTCTATCATTTTCTCGGAGTGAAAGGAAGTCGATAGAACTTTTCAGCGTCACCCGAGCTTAAACGCATCTAACAATAAGGCTTCCTAAGCGTTATCAAATGAGCATTAAGGAACATGTGCCCGAAAATTCGGTGATTTCACTAGCAGACGATGCAATCAAACGTTAAACAGAGCAAGAAGAAGCAAGTTTAGTGTTAAATAAAATTTGAACAAGTTGGTAGTGTGAGCGTTCTTTTAATATTGATACTATTAAGTCAGTGATGTGCTTTTATTAAAATAATACATATGTCAATGGAATTGTTTTATTATAAGAATAATACTGAGAACCTTTAAATGTAACGAATACCAATAATAATAAGTATCAATTCTGAGTAAAGTTATGGTGCAACTTTAACCAGTGTGCAATGATAGCGACCATTACATTTATTGTTTTTACATTTATATGTAACATTTATATGTCAAAGAATTTGCTTTGAAGGTGTTTAACATAATGAACAACAGCATTTTTTGTGTCGATATCGATAACATATACCACTCGACACTATATCTGTGAATATCATATAAATATATTTATGCGTTGCGTTAAATATTGCAAAAAGCAGAGTTACTTACAAAATTGTAAAAATGCTGTCTCCACAGTCAAACGTTTGTTGCACCATGTAACTGATATAAAACATGTATACAAGTACTGATATAACAAATATTATAGCCACTACTATTTGCTCTATTTCATTCCTCTTAAGTAATGATTCGTAGAGCTGGAAAACTGTTGAAATGAAATTATCGAAATTCTTTAGATAAGTAGAGTTACTCACTTGGAATAAATTAATACTTTAAATTACAACGCCTAGGATAATAAGGAAGGAATACACCATCTCAAATTTGGACCACAAATGTTTCATAAACCTTTGAGAAGAAATTACATTGGTATAACTGAGGAACACGCATACAAGGAACGCTTTCTTAAAGTTGATGTGATTTGATGTATAGAAACAAAATTATGACAAAAACAAATGCAAGGCGCATATAGAACGTATGCTGAACTCATACCAGAGATAAGATATTATTATAGTATGTTAACCGTTTGTGTCTCGTATTACTCTGTCAACATTGTATGCAATAATTCAATAATTCTCGTCACGGTGACGTATACACATTATTACACAGGGTGTCCCAAAAATGTTGGAGGTCCTTGAAAGGGGTGGTTCGGGAGGTGATTTGAAACAACTTTTTCCTTAACGAAAATGTTGTCCGAGGCTCCGTTAAGGAGATATTAAGAGAAAACCTCGGACAACATTTTCGCTAATGAAAGAGTTGTTTCAAAGCACCCCTCGAACCATCCCTTTCAAAGACCTCCAACATTTTTGGGACACCCTGCATTTGTGAGACTTTACATTAGCATTATATGACTTAAAAGATCATTTCAAAAAATAACTTCACATTTGTTAGTAACTCAAGCCGGCTTTAAACCGGTCTACTCAAGCTCTAACGGTTCGAAAATTCCTCAAAAGAACCGGACGCACTGAGGAGACAGAGAATTACGCTGGTTCCGTCTAAACCTCCCCAGGGTTCCTCTTTTTTCGAGCAGTCACACTGCGCAATCGTATTCTGATGCCTGAATAGTGACCTGACTCCGTCGTTCGTGCGAACGTCCGGTGTCCAAGGGTTAACGTTACGACAATAGTTACTATTGCTCTCTCGCTCTATCTTGTTCACGGCCTTGCGTGCGGGTAGAGGTGTCGCCGTTATGCGACAGCCAATCGAGTTGCCTCGCCAACTATCCAGCAAGGGACAGTACTATAATAGAAGCGGAGTTATAAGAGCGTGGCTATGACTTTTGAAACGTCCCCCGTATTATAACGCATATGACGAAAATTCGGTCCATAGAAGGTTGATTTCTGTGATATTTATCTGTATATGTTTGTTAAAAGTAATACAGCGAACTATTATTATTTGTGCATAGAATTTTAACTGACTTCGCTACATTCCTTAGCAGCATCACAGCATTTATTAATCTGCGATTATCATGGCCTTTAACCGCTTCATGGATACGATAGCTGTAAATTCCCCAAAAATTCAACGTTTCAGTATTTGTTGCTGAGAAAAGTAAATAACTAGACTGCGGAAGTTTATGGAAATGCATACTTTTACAGGAAATAGTTAAAATAATGGGACGTAGACAGAAATTTGTTTGGAAATTAGAGTGCTATAAAAATATACTTTTTATGTTGCATATTTTGCATATTTATGTTTAAAAACATATGCAATATATTATTGTTTATCGTGCCGAAGTTATAATCTCATGGGTATTCTAATGTTCTGGTTAAATTCAATCACGTCCTACTTGACTCACCAAATAATTTTAAACAACGCAGCAAAATGATGCAGCCACATTGTAATCAAAGATTCGGTACCCACAAACATAGTTCCACCTGCGAAGATCGCCAAGTTCTCGTAAAGCATGATCGGGTAGAAGTATTTCTGTTGGTCGACAAAGTACTCTGTTGCTACGGGAGACCAATGAGGACGACTTTCGTTCAACGGTGATACAATATCCAGAATGTCGGACGTGAAGTGAGCCGCCATTGCAATTACCACCGACGGAGAAACAAACACTGCAACTTGGTGGCTACAGTTACTTCAAGTTCTACAGTTCAAGTTCTACAGTTCAAGTTCTACAGTTACTTCAAGTTTAGCTCTTACTTGCGAAAATTGTTGAATAACGTTTCCCCAAGTAAGCGTACTCTTTAAGAATCTTCAGTTCCTCGTCGTTCATCGATCCCCAATCGTGCTTCACTTCTTCCATAAATTCTTTGATCTGCGTTCAAAATCATACTTACACGTCATTAGCCGTACACAATCGTTACGATACGTTTTTTAACTCACTGTTTCGGCTTGTCGCCAAAAGACGATGTGCTTGTATATGGCGCACAGTAACATACATATGGGCGATATGTTTTTTAAGATCTCTATCGTTGTAAGCTGCCTGGTGAGCAGAGGTATTAACTAAAACCAATGCTGTATAATTATCTTGGTTCTTGACAGTCATAAAATTATTATATGCTGTTGTAACTAGTAGTAAAAACATTTATTAAGAATTATAACAGTTTCTGTTTACGAAATTGATACGAAACCTGTAGTTATACCATCTGTCTTTGCGTGTAAAAAATTGAGAAGAATGATAAAAACAGGGTAAATTTAATTTCACAGTTGTACCTGAGCGATCATATAAATCGCTAACAGCATGATGCTCATAATATTGAGGAACCATCTTATATTTGCACTCCGGTGGGGCCAAAGTCCGATAGGGGATAAAAGCGATATAGGGAAGCTATAGTACTGTGATATCAAACGACCACAATGTCTTTACATGGAAAAAAAAAGTCTCTCTTTAGATTTTATATTTTCCATATTTTCAAAGAAAATGTTATCTTTAATAATGTAAACGCAACGCCCAGACTACACGAATGATTGACATGTGCTATAATTTTGAAATTCTGCAAATTAAAACCGCGTCGAGGGTGCACTATAATCATTATCGATTGCTACGACCCCTTTATAAACTTCTAAATAGCAGCAATTTCTAAATTATACATTGCTCGGTAAAAGATGTTTTGTATTATTCTCGTTTCTCTGTGCCCTCGTCGAACTGTTATTTTCCGAGGACTTTGTTTCATTCGCATTTCAGAGGGAGAACAGTGTCAGTTTTGGGGAGAAATGTCACTGGAGGTGTGTGGTGGTTTCAGTTTATTTATTACATAAAATGTGTATACGATAGCGCACTCAATCCAAGCATCGATGTTGCAGCCTATCCTACGCATTATACTACAATACATATGTATATTACAATATACGAGTAAATGAACGACGCAAAAATCGTTTAGAATATTTCATTAGAGTCGTTATATTTCATCATCAACAGCAGTAAATTTATGGATATAGAAAAACCAGTGAAAAAACAAGATCTTAAAGTCACTTTTGTAAATCCCACTGCAATTGAAGTAGTTTACCAACGCTAAGGTGAAAGATGTAATTTCAGTGATTTATTATCAGAGATACGTAACTTCGATTTTTAAAGAAATGTTTATTTGTATCGGTATCATTAAAGGTAATTTACGAACGTAACGACTGTATAAATAAAAAAAAGTTCACTGTTTTTTTGGCTACCAGGTACATATATAAAACACCTGTAAACTGGTATTCGATAGATTCATTGGAGCAGAGACCAGCAATGGAGCAGAACAAAAAGATACTTCACTCGATAAGAGGCGATGAGGAGGAAGACCAGGTAATGTACAAGGCGTAATTGAAATGATGCATTCAGTTAGTGCTGTAAAAATACGTGACAAGAACGTGACAAGTAGAAAAGAGGAATTTTCCTTTCGAAATTTCCATTTTGTAGGAGTTTTTCGACTAATAAAAATACTAGGTTTATTTCGAAATGGTTTAAAAAGAGTGTTCGTAGTTAAAGATGATAATGAATATACAGTGAATATAGTTTTTTTTTTTTTTTATAAAACTATAAATCAGAAACAAATTCACAAATTGAAAAGCTAACATTTTAAAAGTAAGCAATATTTTCACTCATATGAGAGTTTATCGCTCAGCAATGATTTAAAATATTCGTGTAGATATTAATTTTAGCTAACTCGTTTAATAGTTTAACGTAGGATACCTTGTTACAGATACTACTAGAACCATTTAGTACCATTTACAAAGTACTTAGGAAAGAATGCTTTGTGTTGCCATATGCTTTCAATCATTGGTTAAACGTACCAAAGGACAAACTCGACGCTATCATCGAAATAGGAGACATATTTTATCATTTCTGGCTGGTGTAAGTTTACCCGAATCTTTGTTTTACACCATATCAATTACTTCAATTTTTCCAGAACCGAAGATATTCAAGACAGTGCAGATTTTAGAGAAGGATTCCCAACATCCCATACAATTTTTGGGACAGCTGGTGCGATGAACTCTTCTACTTATGGTTTATTGATCGCCTTTGAAAAAGTCCTAGCATTGAATCATCCAAAGGTGAGTTATGTTACAAAGATTCTACTTCCTCTTCGTTTCAATACTCTCGCTGTTACGATTAGGGCCCGCAAGTATTCACGGACAGTTTGTTGAAAACGAGCAGAGGACAAGGGATGGGACTGTACTGGAAACACAATAATATTTGTCCATCCAAAAGTGCTTATACAAAGGCTGTAATTGGAAGTTAGTATCAATTAGTCTGTAATATTTGAATACAAAGTGTCTTCGAAAGTGTTTGTTTAAAACAAGATATACAGGGTGGGGTATTCGAAAAGGTACTCTGAGACAATTTATTTTCTATTGCAGTTGACTTTGGGTGACCTCAAATGACTTTCATTCTAAAGCCTCTTTTTGGAGCATTGGTAGTATTTACAATAAACATTGTATGCATTGCAGAATCAGCTCAAGTATTGCAGTGCGTAATCGACTTAATGCAGTTGTTTTCTGATTGCAAAAAAGACTTCACCTACTTAACACAAACGTTTGGATATTATTTCCAAATTCGCAAGGACTATTTCGATTTTCTCGAAAAGGTATGTGAAGGATTTTATTGATAAAGGCAATGGATGTTACTATTACTGCAATTATCGTGTAGGATTATCTTTGAATTATTGTCAGTATAGGTATACACTAAAATAACGCCTTTGGTGTTCGTCACACACGCAGTTTGACTATCACGATAGTCTTTATGCTTCGCTCTTTCATTTAAAATTAAACTCTAGCATTCATCCAGGCATATCTTCACACAACACGCAATCTTGTCATTTGTTCCCAATCTGCCACCTACCAATTAGTCAGCTTAGTCTAAACATTCGTTCGATTCCATGCGTTATTCGACATTTGGCCCCGAATGTCACCAAAATCATGCTCTACGCTATAGTAATTTTCATAGGATAATAAAACTTTCGCCGGTGATCTGTCCGAAGGAGAGTTCAGTTTCCCTACCATACATGCTATACAGAGCCATCCAGAAGATACACGAGTGATAGGTATCCTTTATTTCAGTATAAATAGTTTATATAATAATTGAATCCACTATGCTGTCCTGTGAAGACAGATTTAATACTTTTTTAAATATATATTACTATTTTTTCCTTATGGTACATGATTCATGCAGAAATGTTGAGAAAACGTGTAAAGGATATTGACTTGAAACGTGACTGCGTCAAACTATTAAATCAGTTTGGATCCTTCTCTCATACTAAAAGTGTACTGGAAGACTTGGATAAAGAATTAAGGGACGAAATAAAACGTTTAGGAGGAAATCCACTATTAGAGAAATTTTTGGATAGTCTACTGGACTGGAAGACGAAAAATGTACCATAATTTTGTTTCGTCGCTAAATGATAGAATTTGTTGTTTATTAATATATGTACGTTTAGTGAAACTCGTAAAACTGATTTCATGAAACATCGAGGAACTCGATACATAAATCATATTTAAATTTGTGGATCGGCATAGGTTTATGACTGTTGTTTAATAATGACTCGTTACATCTTATTATCATTACGTATATATATATATATATTATAATAATAAATAAAGGTTTTACAACATTCTCCTTCAACGGTCTATAATCTACTGCTACGTCTATTTATTTCTTTTTTCGTACATCGCGGCACATGTGTAGTACCTACTCTGTCGGTAATGTATAATCCTACATTCCCCCTTTTACTACATATCCGGTGCTTTTATTCTTCAACGTTAGCATAGAGATACACTTTACATGTTCATCATACGTTAGGGTACATACAAATGTACCCGCAAAGTTTTCATCGAAGTTCTTGAAGATAATGATGCTTTGAGGATCTTACCATTTGAGATGAATACGTCTGGAGACAGTTTGTAGATAGCGCCAGTCTCCTAAAATAGTGACATCATTTACCGACGCATAATTTAAAGATATTTTCTTCAATTAATCGCAAAAATATTTGACATGTTTTTATCCGTTATTTATCATTCGAATAAAATTTTCCTGGTTTTTGTCATTGTATATGTAAATAAAATGTCGCTTTGACAAACTGAAACACTTACAGGAAAACGATATTTCGTTCCATTTTTTGGAGATTTTTCATTATTGTTGTATAGAAAATCAGTAGCTTTTAATCTTTCTGTGAAAAAATAATGTAACTAAATAAGATACGTATTATCGATAATATAAAGTATTAAACCAATATCTTAAGTCTTCTTCATTTTTCACAATTCTCAAAATGATTAAATTTTTTGTAGCAGACTAGAATACCCGTTTACACTATATAGTGTAAGTTATGACTTTTGTTTAATTTCGAGTGCTATTTGAAATGCCTAGCTGGGAACAGTTTCCAAGATAATAAATATTACAATTCTGTTGCATTGAGCGAAATGAGCCGGAGGTAGGCAGCTATAATTTCACGCGAATGAATATCTAGAAACTCTAGATGAATAGTTCTTGTTCGGAAATAGTTGGTGACCACGGTGTTGAATCGTGTGCAGCTTGACGTGGAAACGTGGAATGACTCGTTCTGTTAGGAAGGAAACTCCTTGACACTGCAAAGTTGCCCGAGCGTAGATGCCTCACACGCCCCACCTCGCGAACGATGATTCCATGGTAACCGGGGTGGGTTCGCAGACCACAACAGACGACCAGACGACGTTCGTTCGTCCGTTTGAAGAGATCGTGAACCGACCGGAGACCGTGTCTATCGTTACCGGTGCAATTCTTATCTTTTTTTTTTCGCACGCTAGTGAATTGTGGTAATTAAGTTCAGTTCGACGAAACGTGCTTCGCGGGTTCGTTATATCGACGGAGTTCATTATGCATGCAAACCAAAGACGATCGCAAAGGAAACAATAGAACAATATCTATTTTCTCGCCGTTGGAAAAGAGAAACTTATCGTAGAGTGTTCGGGTCGTATTCGCGGCCCAGATCATCAGCAGAGGTTAGTGCGCGCCTAAAATTTGAACCAATTCGAATGGACGAAATTCATCTTTCGTCGTTCAACGATCATATTTCTTTATGAAAATTCAAATATGCTTTGAGATAAATAAATGTATTGTTACGTTTGTATTTCGCGAACGTTTGTTCGATGGGAAATTTATTCTGAAAGATTAATTCCACTGAACTTTACTTTAGTATTTTATTGGACTTGCTAAACATTTTTTCTCAAGTTTTCGTCAATTATTTTAAGATATTTCAAATAACTACATTGTTGAGTCGTTAAAATTGTTCGGTATGCGTCATCGCGGGAACGGTTACTATTCACGCATCGGAAATGAGCGAAATTCTTTATCTAGATAGAAATTTCAAATAACGAATTAAAGATAAATAATTTTTTATTTGTTATACTTGAATTATAAAACGAAATTATATTTTACATTGAAAGAATCGAAATTAATCTCTACTGGTGTTCAATCGAATAAACATCACGACTGAATAACTGCGTAATATTTTTATCCGTTATTTATCATTCGAATAAAATTTTGCTGGTTTTTGTTACACACGCGGGAAAGTAAAACTGTACTTTTTAGGTAATCTGCGTTAATTCTAAATTTTTGAAATTTGGGATATGTTAAGTCACGTAATTAGAATCATTTTTTAAGTAATACAGTACTGAAGTACTTTTTTTTAAACTTAAGTATACAGTACTGAATGGGTATTTTGATAAGCAAGAAACTTGTAAGGGCTTTAATAAGAGGAAACGTTAAACGAACCGACAAAACGGACGCTCTACATATCATTTGTACACATTGAGTCTTCCAAAGAGGAAAGTGTGTAACTCCGGGAAATTCGAGTTTCGCAAAACTGACTGAGCTCGGTTAATTGCATCACTTAGTCATGGCTGAACGGATGCGTGTAACTTAATTCGTTGCATGTGTGTGCCAGGGACCGTGGAAATGATGAACACCAACGGAAAATAATTGAATAATACCGCGGCGAGTATGTATATTTAGAAATAACGGCCGAAGCCTTTTCCAAGGTATCGTGAGTAAATCGATTATCGGTACAGTGTGAAAATTTCTACGGTGCATGATTTTCATCCATGCGGTCGGTCGCACATCTAAAGGAAACAAAAAAAGGGGGACAGCAACACGCGGTGTAAACAATTTTTTCGACTGAACGTGAATTATGGTTTCTGCTTGTTCCACGGAGCATGGTTTGCAAATATGCAGAGCGAATTTAATATGAAACTTAAGATTGGTATAATTGTATTTTTCTATACATTTTTTAAACTTATTTGTTGTATAATCGTGTAAGGATACATATAAGATGAATTTGTTCAATTATGTTGTGAAGTGTTGTTTTGAAACCTAACCTCAAATTCTCACCTAGAAAAGAAATATTGATTAAAAAATAAATTCTTACCTTTGCTTCGTTAACTCATCAATAAAAATTACACTTGGAATTATATAATTGAATCATTTTATGTTGGAACGAATGAATACTCAATTGAATAACTGCTAGATTGAATAAACTTTGAGTATAAAGCATTGTACAGCTTCTATTCTATTCTATTATTTGAATAAAATTCTGTCCATTTTTACATTAAATTAATGAAGCATTAGCTTTGTAATTCTCAAAACTTTTTAACCATTAATGTTTCTAATTTCACTACCATTAGTATTTAACTACCTCTAATTTAAAACTACTTATTATTAATTTCATAGGTGTATTTCCCAGATTGAATGAAAAATGAAATTTTGAATGAAATAATAATATCACAGATTTTTAATTTGTAATTTTTCCTTAAATAAAATTTTGTATGTGCAATTTTTCTTTAGTATTATTTTTATAGTTGCTGAAATTGAGAGCAACAGAATGGTTATTCGTATCTTTTATGTTTTTAGAACGATTCATTCATTTCACTATTCTCAGGATTGGATGCTTAAAAATAAGTAATTGGTTTATCACCCAATAGTAAAATTAATATATTTTTATAATAATAATTCATACTGCTGCTTGGTTACAGACTATTAGTCGATAATGTCACCTGAACTATTTCAGTCACCTTTAGGTATTTCAACTCTGAGGTATTATGGTTCTCTTTAGTAGTAAGTAAAGATTCAATTCTATAATACAAATAGACAAATCTTACATTTTGAGAAACATCATTACCAACGATATGAACAACTTATATCATCCTAGGGGCAGATTCTAGTACATCATACAAAAGAGAACTAGAGATACATCTATATCAAATATCGAATACCATGATAATAAATAAAATAGATAAAGAAACTCTTTTTAAACTTAAGCAAACTTAAACAAACTCATTTGAATAAAAGGGTATAGCTTAATAAGGAGATGAAAAGTATTTTTAGACTGATTTTGATTTGCAATGGTATATTCAGTAGGTTATCAAAAGAGACTAATCTGTCCCAAGTTTCAAGTCTCTATCTCAACTAGTAGAGTAGTACACAGGACAAAATGAAAATCACGTTTTTGACCAATTCTCTCGTCCTATATCATGCAAAATTTTGAAAAAAAAAAATAAAACATTTCAGTTACAGAGATACATGTGCCAGATTTTTTTCTGATTTTTTAATTGAAAATCCCAGTTGCCAAGAATAAAAAAAACATAAAAACAAATGGAACTACGTGTATATTGTTATTGTCCATAATTTTTTTCAAAACTTTGGGTGCCGTGCGTCGTAGTTGGAAAAATTAGAAAACAATGTTCGTAGCTCTTTAGTCGCATTAGAGTAATTTACATATGAAAATTTTGTATACATATAAAATATATAATTTTCAATGTTTTAACATTTATCAAAACAGTATACAGAAAACGTTAAGGGGGAAACCCTCATTAGAAGACCAAATATTAAATGATCTCCGTGAATTATTTTCTTTTGCAGACCTGTTGGATAACTATTTGTTAAACTATTTAATGAAACTGTTCAACTATTGGGTAACTTTTTATTACAGATTTGCGCATTTAAAACTGTTTAACGAATTACACAATAGTCCTAATTAAAATTGTTTAAAAACTTATCCAATAGTTCTAATTGGTAGATATTAGTTTAACCGATCAGGAACTATGGAACTATTGGAAATGAAGACAGAACATTTAATTATTTCTGAATTTTTCACAAAATGAGCTGCTAGCTTTACACAGCCGGCAACAATTGACTGAACGCTCGCTACTTAAAAATAATTACGGACTATGGAAAAACGCGAGCAAAGAATTAACTTCAGGCTTTGATACGTCTAGTTCCGTCACTGCAAATAGGTAATGTTATTAACGAGTAGCCATGCAATGAATGAGACTGTTGTCAGCGTGCGCTCACCGTCTGTTTCTAATTACCAGCAAAACCGCGACGGTCCGGTTTTTTACGAGTCTTGCTCGCCATGTCTATGGATCCATATTCCACTCGTATCCGTTCGCGGGTTAGGAATTATTTAACGATCCGATTCTCGTTACAGCGTCCAATTTACTTTTTTTGCATATGCATTTAACCACTAGTTAGTTAGAATTAATTCGAAGCCAACATTGCTAACATTCAATTTTATTGTAGGATATCCGCGATAACGTTAGATATGTAACGGTACACTCATAGCAATTAGGGTATTATAATTCAAGTAAGTACTTAGTTTGCGATGGCTCGCGCGACAGGTTGTTCGTGTAACGTGAGAATTAATTCCTACCACGCCTGAAGCTTGGATATGTCTCCGGCCTTGAGCGAGCTACCTGTTTAAAACAAGATACAAGTATACAACGGCAATAATTTTAGAGAACCTCCGAGAAAATCGAACGATACAAGAAATAATCACAATTTTTTGTTATTAATATACTAATAATATATTCTCATTCTCTGTATTCATTACTCAAATTTTGTCACGGAAGATTGGTTATTACTCAATTGGGAAGATTGAATAACCCAATTGGTTGTTATTCAATACTCATTCTCGTACTACAACAACGATAATTACTTTGAAGTAGATATAAAATACAGGAATAAGATGTGACCACGTACTTTACATAGTAGGTTGTGTAAGTACCTCGCATTTACATAAAACCGTTTTCCTCTTTCCTCGATAATACATATTTTATTCAAGTAGCTCTTCCCGTGCAATTCTTTCTTCTATATGGAAAAGTTATATCTTGTTCCCTTTAAAATTATTTAGGTCAATCGATGCTATAAATTGTCCCTGAAGATGATCCAATTTCAAAATTGATACTTCTAACGACAGATACCATTATTTACTACTAATTGCGTCAGTTACTTAGTCTTTTGTTTTGTTACCAAAATAAAAATTCTAAAATATAGCTTTCTATATTTGTCATTTCATAAATGGGCTAATGTATTTTTATTTTCCCTTTGTATTATTCTTTATTGTGCGTTGAAATAAACGAACTTAATTAAATAACTATCTAATTTATACGCATTTCTCCGATTCACACGGTTTGTCGTACCAAGTATCATCATTTCAATTTGTGCAATATTCACAGAGGATTCGATCTTTCATTAAAATCGAGAAATAGATGCATCGATTTTTATTTAACCAGTAACTTTTTATTTTTCGTTCTCATTTGTTGATCTAAATAAAAATTTCATAAATGGGCTAATGTATTCTTATTTTCCCTTTGTATTATTCTTTATTGTGCGTTGAAATAAACGAACTTAATTAAATAACTATCTAAATTATGTGCATTTCTCCGATTCACACGGTTTGTCGTACTAAGTATCATCATTTCAATTTGTGCAATATTCACAGAGGACTCGATCTTTCATTAAAATCGGGAAATAGATGCATCGATTTTTATTTAACCAGTAACTTTTTATTTTTCGTTCTCATTTGCTGATCTAAATAAAAATTTGGTTTGTCTGTACTTGACGAGAGAATGTCGAGTGTGTCGGCGCGGATCGATATCCGAAAAGGAGAGCTACGTCAACCGTGGACGCAGGGTCCTCTGAAAAGTCGTATTTAACAGGGTAGCGT